TGAAATAAATGCTTCATTTGCATATGCAGTAATATTTGTTAAGAATATTTTTCTCAAACTTTTTCACATATGATAAACAGCTGCAAATGAATAAGTTCCCCAAAGTTATTACACTCAACTAAATGAACTATTTATACATTAAAGAATTCCTATATATGCTGCTCTATCATAAAGTTTATCTCCTCCAAAGGAACCGTTATGGACAATCAAGTCAAAACCATTTGACCAATAGACTATAACATCATCAATGATAAAAAAATAAAATGAAATGAATATTTTAAAACACCCCTTACATATTTATATTATGATCTGAATTCACAATGAAATATCATTTTTAAATCTACCTAACAATAAAGCCACATAATGTGTAGCTAGCTAAGGGCAGATAGATTTTATTCATTTTGCGCTCTCTCTCTATCGCTCTCTCTCCACAACAAAACTCACAAGGCCATCACACAGCCCATTATACCAACATCAACTCCATCAACCAATCAAGAGACAGCAGCGCAGCCAACCAGCCAAGCACACCAGCCCCCCCACCAGTATTTATAGAGAGATGGTAGCTCCGATCACACACTGCTTGCACTGGCACAAAACAGAAAGCACCAGCCTGAGGATGGCGAGTGGGACCTCGCCGAAACATCGCCAAGATACTCTTAATCTTACATGGAAAAAGACCCAAACACACCTAGACCTACATACCTGTACCTGTGAAAATCTACAAACACACACACACACAACCAAACACACACATACATATATATACAAACACACATATCCTACAATTCATAATTATTTTGTGTGCATTCCTATATACACACGTGCAATGCTTTGTAATATAGACCTTATTGCAAATATGTTTTTATTTGTATAATTTTTCCTTTACAAATGCATTCCAACTGATACAATTTTGTACATCTCACAGAAATAATGTGTCCTAATTCACATGTGCATTTGGTTCTCCTTAGATAAGCATGAGTACATAATTTCTTCTCCAAGGTCTTTTTCTGAATGCTCCAACTATGGCAAATTAATTTTTTTTTTAAAAAAAGAAGTGCGATATCTAACTTTTGAAACCATTCCTCAAGATGAATGAAAACAAGTCTTGTTACCACTTACTTTTCAAGGAGCATCAAAATATCTTTCTTCCAGTGAATCTTTCAATACATCATTGATTTCCTAATTTTCTTCAAAAAACTATCGTTTTTTTAAAAAAGGTATTTTTTAGAGAAAGACACGATCAAAATATGAAACATAAAACAAACAGCAATATAGTCAGTATTTTTCATTATCTTTCAACTGCTTATTTTGGATTGCTACCGTTCCACATATCTTGAACTTCAGATAAAAGAAAAGATGAATGTAGGTTAAATGGATTTGTGGAAACCAAGGTCCATAAGAAAAAAAGGAATACTGTGCTACTTTAGCTTTGAAGAAGAAGTGTGTGTGTGTGGGGGGGGGGGGATATGATTGAAATACATGAAAACAAAATGCAGAACATCCTTAGAGTTGAAAACCGATTGAATGGACCATAGTCTGTTGTATGAATGAGGAAAGAAAGGTTGTGTAGAAATATACTGCCATGCCCAGGTTGAACACAACAGACATGATATTAAATGACATAAAGGCAGATTGTAGACTGGCAGAAAAAGCTATTCCTCTTAAAGTACCTACTAATTTGACTAAAAGTCAAAAACATTGAGTGGTGAGCTCTCTGAAAAGGCAAAAATAGGACTGCTCATAAGGTCTTTGAAAAAAAAAAAAGATAGATTGTTCAAATAGTCTCAGTGGATATTTTAGGGTCACAGAAGTTCAGGCTAACTTCTGAACTAGCCCAGAGCACTAATTAGCACTACCAAGGATTACTTGGAACAATATAGTGTCTACATGAAGGCAGCAGATTTCATTTATTTGCAATAGTTTTGCAAAAACAGATTTAGAAAGCAACCAATAAAAGGTTCTAACTGTGGTCAGGGTTGTTTCCAAAATGAAATCTTGTCTTCAGAAAAGTCTGTGGACCTCATAAGGCCATCTTTAATACAAAATGGTGTATCACACTTTCAGCTTTTTTTTTTCTTGCTGTTATAAAAATTATTTCACAATGGGATTCTGTGTTAAATGAGTTTTAAAATGCTATCATTTAAATCACATCTTGTGCAGATAAATATTTATTAGATTATAAATATGTTTTGCAAACCATGGTTAATCCTCTGGGGGCAAGAAGCTATGTAAATCCATTTTATAGGCATGGATCCATTTTACTCCCGTTGTTCTGAGAAATCTAACAAGGCAACATATAAATGCAAATGAAAACACACATTTGACAGTTCTATCTACAGAACACTTTTCCCTTTGTGCTTGAAACCAAGTAATGAACCTCAGGCCTCTATGTTCCTCCCTTTGGGAATGGGTTGGAAAATGGCTACTAGTGCCCAAGATTCTTGGCTTACTGACAGCTATTATATGGATTGAAACAGTACAAATAAAATGCAAAAAGAAATCAACTATACAACTTTATCAACTGTTTGGTAGACTCTAGTGCAAAACCCAACATCGATCTCTCCAAGCATGCTACAACATTCACTTAAGCTTACTTTTATTTACTTATTCACCATACCAAAGCAAGCAAGGCCATTCTGATGATAAGCCACAATGCAGTCAAATAATGGGCTAAGGATTTGGAAGTCCAATTAGATTAATTTACCTTACCTGCAAGATTCCTTGAGTATACTTTAAGATAATATATAAGTAACTTTCCTAAATTTTGAAGAGAACTAACATGAACACGTTTCAATATTTCCCCTGATCTATTCTCAAGGCTGTTTATGAGACACAGGGAGAAAAAGAAAAGAGGGGGAGAGAAAGTATGTATAATATTAATACACACACATGTACTTATAAACTCACTAAATCCTGATATAATAACACAGCAGTAATATGTAATAAAAACTACCGGTACTACTAATACTACAAGATCTAACATATTTTTCATTTCACATTTGATTGAGATAGATGACTGTGAAAGATAGTAACAGGCATATTACTGGTTGCCTATTCCTTTTTACCCTGCTTCATCTCATAATCAAAGCTGTTGTCTTCTGTTGAAAGACTGCAAAAAAATTTTGTCCTGAGTCACCCAGAATAATAACATTGTATATTGTCCACTATTACTGTACAGGAAATAATTATCCCTGTGGTATCTGAAAAATGCTCTTACCTATTCGGCAAGGAAGCAAATTATAGACATACTATATCTCAAATTATTTCATATATATGTCTGTATTCCTTAGAGAGAATTGCCTGCTTCCAATACTTTGCTACAATAGATACTTATTTAGTTTGTTTGACCAAAAATCTATAAGCAAAGCCAAAAAAAAAAAAAAAGTCTGCAGACTAAATTTCAAACTAAACAACATTATCTCCTTGCATATGTAGATTATTTTTCCTAAGGATTGTTCTAAAACGTTAACTCTCTTGTATGAAATATCTACAGCTGATATTAACAACTATAAATATCGAGAATTCCCAATTAAACTGCACACCGGGAATGTTATTCAAAGACAGAAGAAAGGTTGAGCATCAGCTAAAGCTTGTGCATGTATTCCTTGTTCTCTTCATCTGGGTCTTTTGAACTCTACATCAAGTGTGCAAGCTTCAGTTCTGAACAACAATTCAGTACAGTCATTCTGAATATGTTATATTTAGAAGAAAGGTGGTAATATATATTAAAAATATAGCTGCCCGGAATTACCCTCTGGTAAGATGGGTGGCCAGTAAATTCTATAAATAAATAACAGAATAAATAAAACAATGTAATAGGAAATAATTTATTGTAGTTCATCTTATTCTGTAGTAAATACATGTAATAAATGGAAAAATATGATCCAATTTGAACCTAAAAATGTGATTCTTATGTATTAAACCAGGAATTAGCACTGCTTCACATTCTCTCTTCTGAAGATGAGCTTAAATGAAAGTTTCCTATACAAAATAGAACCCTGCCCTAGCTAATAAAAGCATTGGCATATCTGAGGTGTAAATATTCACATCATCAATAGGGAATGCCAAAAATATAGAATTTTTCTGTGACTCTTTCCTGTCACCTAATGGTTATCTGGATTTTTGTAGGCCACACATCAGCCCTGGTTTTAGAGACCAAAAAGGTGCAGAAAATAATCAAGGACCTGAAATACTTTCCTTTTCTTTCAGAAAAACTGAAGAATAGAATTGTTTTGGAATTACCTTCCAAAACAACAGTTAGATTGTTTGACAAGGCACTGTAGTAGTACTATGAGAAATTAAATAAAAAAACTCTACTGCGAGCTATTATGACTCTACTGAAGTGCCAGGTAACCTAGCACGCCCTAGCAGTATGCCATGAAATACCAATTAGAAAACAGGGTGACAACTAGCAGAAAGAATTCTTTGTATATTCCTACTGTGCTTATTGGGGGCATGTCACTGGAAAGGAGATACTAGACAAATGGAGTCCAGTATCCAATCAAGAAAACCAACTCTAATCCATACTGCTACTATTTGTACCGTATAATATTTCTCTAATTTGGAAACTAAATATAAAGGAAAAGTTTTCTGGGACAGTACTCACAGAATATCACTGAGATGAGATTGAGACAGGGCTCTTAATTACTCACCCGTCTAAATCATCTGCCATTCTTCAAATGAAACTTTGGCCAATTTGTGATACATACATTGATTCTCATACAGTCCAGAATGAGTGGGAGGGAGGAATGACATTCCGTGTTGGTGCCACTGGAGCCCTGAATAAATTTTTCTTGTGGAAAAATATTGTTCTGGTCAATCTAGTTCTACTTTTTTTTTTCCTCCCTGGGCCCTCAAGACCTACATTACAATTATTACAAAAATAATAATTAAAAACTGTAATATATTGAAATTGCTTTCTTGGAATTAAGTAGCTATTCACAAGGTAAACCTTGCAAATAAATTTAGCAGCAAGAAGGGTGAAAGAGTTATTGTGTTACCTTTTCAGCCCTACAGTTGTTTAGGCCCATACTATTCAGGGTGGGAAGCTTTCCATCAATATGTGGTTGCTGTTGCTGTTGCTGCTGCTGCTCCCGCTGGATTTGTTCTCTCATCTTTCGAGCCTCCTGAATTGCTTTCATTACAGTGTCCTGGTCCCCAAATAGGGCAGGTGAGTTAAGACTGGAAAGGATGTCTAGGGGAAAAAGGGATTATAAGAGTGCATTAAAATATCCTCTTTTCGAGAGATTCATATACAGACACACAGGCACAGGCACAGACATATATTATAACTAGCTCCATACCCATGCTTCGCTACGCAACTATGTGGTCTGGCTTAGTTTTGGGGGAGGAAAAATCTGCCTCTGCCTACCAGCATCCATCGGTATTCATCTGGATGGCGTTCTGTTAGTGTGTGAGAGAGTTGAGGGCTGTTTGGAAATTAAAAGAGTATTTGCTTTGTGAGTAAGAAGGAGACAGCAAGGTGCCTGGGCATGGCTTAGCTCAACTGTTCTGTACTAAAGCTGCTTGGTGCTGTGAAACTAAAACTGAAACTCCTCTCCTCTGGTTGTGTTTTGCATTTGGAACAGATTTCTTTTCAGGTGGGGAGGGGGAGTAGAACTCCTTAGCATCAGAGCGTGTTAATAATAATATACAAAATACTAATGCTCTGATGGTCATTTCGAAAAATCCTTTCTTAGTGAGCACCTAGAAGCCAAGAGAAACATATGTGCCAAATTTCAAGTTTGTAGGCTTTACAGTTCTGGAGATTTTGTGATGATGCATGAGTGATATTTTGCTTTTATATACATAGATTTCAGCTGCTGCACATATTAAAGCCTGTATCTTTAACATTAAAATGGATAGCAATTTTAGATTTGGGCAACAGCTGTAATTTTGTTTTCCATCCTGAGTGATGTTCAATCAGATATAACCTCTCCTGAAGCAATTAACAAAAATTATTATATTAATGATTTAATCAAAACATTTGATGCCTTTTAAAGTGAGAATTTCAGCAAATGTTTCAATCCTAGCGCAAAGGATCAAATTGCACCTACATGTTTTTTGCTTTGTATTCGTAAATTTATTTTATTAACTGACATTCATGAAAAATTCATATTATGTTTTCTTACAGAGTACTAACTGATATAACTGATTGCTGTTTCATTTGTTTTTCTATTATGAAGCTATTAAGTTGAACCCAAAAATTCATGTATACTACATTCAGCCATGAACCTTACAGAACATAAAATAATTAAGTCCAGATCAATTTTTACCACAATGTTCAGTGATTGGAGATGAGGAAGAAAATAAGATAAAGCTTTTATCTTTTAACATTTTTTATCATAGAAAGCATCTAATGAAGCAACTTTTGAAATGGAGAATGAGGCACAACTATGATGCAAACTTTCTATGATGCTCTTTTAATCTAATGTCTATTTTGAATAATATTGGATTGTTATAACCACAAAATGGGGTTTCACAGCATACTGTATCTGTGTGGATTATCACAATATAAACGCAAAACTGCAAATAAACTGAAACGATATGTTTTAATTCCAGCTCTGATCAGAAGCAAGTGGGTATGATTATTAAATAAATAATTGTTACTTCCACTGATGGATTTAATTGTATAAAAGATTACTTGTCTATGTTTCCATCAAAGCATAACAATAATTTAGTGTGAAATATTTAAACTACATGCTTTTGCCCAGTTTAGGTAGGTTTCTTGAGACTTTAGATTGACCAGGATAATATATGATTGAGTTACATCTGGATTATCGCAGTGTGCTTTTTGAATGACTGCTTTGTAGAGCGCTTAGAAATTACGCCTTGAATGGGACAACAAAAGCAAACACCAAAGTTGATTAAAACTTTACATTCCAGTTTTTGCAGAACCATTGAAATATTAATAATTAATAATGGGCCAACAAATCAGTATCAGTTCTGAGTTACCACATTAGGTTTTCTCCAGGATGAATTGGCTCCGACACTGATCCTTCAGATCTTCCAACAATACACCCATTGCTGTCCACCTTACTGATGGTCTTCTCTTCCTTCCACCTTTCCTAGCATCAGAGCATTCTCTACAGAGCTCTCTAAATCAGGGGTCTCCAGTCCCTGGACCATGGCCCACTACTGGACGGTGGCCTATTTGGAACCTCATGCATGCGTTGCTCAACTTACCCAAAATGAGCTGCACACATGCAAGTGCATGCCAGCCTATTACTCGTGCAAGTGGAGCTGTGTACACATGCATGTACCAGCCCACCGCTCAGGCAGCCCAGTTCCGCTTTCTCTCCATAGCTGGACCTCCAAGCTGCAAAGTTTGGGGACTGCTGCTCTACAGGTCTTCAGATAATAGGTCTGAACTAGGATAATTTGAGAGTGGTTATTTGTGCCTTAAGTGAAACCCTGGAGATTTGTTCACTGATCCATTTTTCCCCCTTGGCTAACCATGGCATTCTCAGGAGTTTTCTCCAATATCAACATTCAAAAGTGTCAATACTCTTTCAAACCCACTTCTTCAAAATCCAACATTCACTTCCATTGAGTGTCCTAGAGAATATCATTGCCTGCACTATTCTGATCTTTGTAGATATAGACATAATAGGCAGTGATGGGATTCAAAAACTTTTACTACCAGTTCTTTGGGCGTGGTCATGTGACTGGGTGGGCATGGCTCTTTTTTTTGCAGCCCCCACCCATTTTTGGGAGCTTCTTAGCCACAGAGGAGCCTCGGGGAGGGGGCATTTTTTACTCCCCTAAGGCTCCTCTGGAGTTCAGGAAGAAAAGGAACAGAGCATGGGAGGGGCACACAGCACCCTTCCAAGCTCCATTTTGGGAGCTTCCTAGCCTCAGAGAAGCCTCGGGGGGAAGGCGTTTTTGCTCCCCTAAGGCTCCTTTGGGGCTCTGGAAGGCAAAAAATGGAGGGGGGGCTGAGCTTCTCCCTCCATTTTTTGCCTTCCTGGGACTCAGCAAGGGGAATCCCAGCACAGCTGATCTTATCTACAGCTGATTGTCAGGTGGGGGAAAAAAAGAAATACCTTAGGTTAATGTCAGGCGGGCGGGTAAGCGAGCATCGGGGGTGTGGCCAGCCAGAACTTATTTCTGGTTCCACGACCCACACCAATTTCTTACTACCGGTTCGCCTGATCCGGTGCAGGATATCTCACAGTTGTTCCTCTACTGTTGACTTTTGATCCTAAAATGGTGGATGGCTTAATATCTTCATTGTTAATTCTAAATTTGGTTGTTGTGCCTCTTGTCATTAGTTTGATCATCTTTATATTTAATTTTAGTTCCAATTTTTCACTGCTCACCTTGATTTGTTTTATTAGAATTTTCAAACTGTTCACACTTTCAGTAGTATCTTTATTATTTACTTGACTTGATCTTGTTTGTCTACCAAGGTTGGAACTGGTTAGCATTTGGACTGGGAAAATATCCTAAAAGAAGTCAGTCACAAACCAATCTCTACTGAGTTGTTCCATGACATTTTTTTTTATGTTACTCATGACTGATCTTTTAAGATTTTTATCTGTTTTGTATCAGCTGACTTATTTATTACTGTGTGCTGCCCTTTGGGGCAGATGGGCACATCGATAAATTTGAATAATAAATAAATAAAAGGTCTGTGCCAATAAATTGAGACTTGAAGCTCATATGTGACAATGCAAGCTACATCTCATGGCCCCTCTGTAGAGAATCTGTGTGTGTCCAGAAAGTTGTGCCTTTGAATTAAGGAAGTTTCTGGAAAGAGGATAGGGGTGCTGCCAATCTCTTCGGGGAACAAGTAGCTACCACATGAACCCAGGAAAAGATGTAGCTTTAAGAAGGACCTGATAGATTTAATAGGACCTCCTTAAAGAAGGCGATGCCCAATCTGAAAACCTTTTCAGTCTCAGATGTGAAGAACCGAACCTCCATAGTTGTTGAAATGACTATTCATTAGATTTAATAAAGCCGCCCATTCTAGCAGAGCATGACTCAAAGTATTTACAGGTTTTTTAAATTTACCTTTAGTTTACTCTTTAAGGTACATTGAAAGGACTACTTTCCCTTACAGATTCCCATGTAACTCAAAGCCCTAATAAATATGACAGAGTTTCCATGTTATAAATGTCAAACACCTTGTAAATGTTAAGAAACTTTGAATATACCTGGTTTTGCAATTCACACACACACACACACACACACACACACACACACACGCACACAGAAGACCAGAAACACCTCATCCCTATCTGTAATGATCCATATTTGTTCCTTTTTGAGTACCTAGAGAAGATCCTCTTCCCAGAGTCGCGCCAATGGGACTGGGGATTCCACTTTTATTGCCCACATTCACAGGGCTGGTTTTACACGTAGGGAAGAGGCTCTGCGTTGGCGACGTCGGGGATTTGACAGGTTCTGCTGTCTTGGGTCTAGCAGAGAGATTCAGTGGCTGTGCAGCATCATCCTAGAAGAGTTTAATGTAAATAATTATTAGAAGAAGACAAATGAAGCACATTATCACTTAGGAAGCCACAGCTATTTTACACCTTCCAGACAATGCTGCATTTTCCTGCAATAATAACAAAAGAAGCTAATTATCTACACTCCTTGAAGATTCAATGAAAGGGAAACCTCATTAATTCTTCTGTGCTGTGCCTCTGTTTACATTAACTATGTGGCTAGATCGTTCTTTTTGACAAATTAAAATCTGAATTAGCTTGCATTACTGTTTAATTTCCTAATGTGTTTTCTGAGATCTAAATTAACCCAGGGCATTCACAAAGAATGATTTTAAAAAAAAATCTAACCAGCAATGTTGCACTGTTTAACTGTGTCTGCTGGAAACTTCTTAAACTACAGTGTGGCATGTATGTTATTAATATGCACATGAATGAGGGGCAGCATTAACGTAAAAAATAAATAAAAGAAGAACATTGGATGACTTAATTGTTTTAGTTTTATTTCCATAAACTGTGGCTATGATTCTCTTGCCACTCTATTTTATGAAAGACTTTTTCAAATAAAGACTTGTCTAGACAAGATGGGTGGCACATAAATCTAATAAATAAATATAATTTCAATAGAATGTTATTTCTTCATTTCTTTCAAAAAGTCTAGCAGGGTAGCAACATGCTTAATATTGTTGTAACGGTGTATTTACTGGCACAAACCCAAACTGATGATGAAATGTTTGTATCTTTAGTCTACCAACAACAGCAGACACGAGTACAAATGAAGTAAAATAACATTTGGTTCTTACTATTTAGTAAACTATGGGTGCTACTGATAGGACAGAACATCACAGAAAAGGTCCATGTGGTCAATTGACACTGATTTGATGACACATATCAAAAAGAAAAAAACAAGAAGGGGATGAACAGGTCGGTGCTGCTTATTTAAACTCCCTTGATCAATTGCTGTTAATCCTGAATGTTTGCACTAACCTTTATGTATTAGGTCAAATGTAGAGAAGAGAGTCCAGAAGAGGATTAAGATGTTACATATAAATACTAAAGCCTGAAGCAAAGCCAGCTTGTGTTCATATGTTTATTGTGATTTGTTAGTGGTCTGTTTTTTATTCATTTTTTATTTTATTGTTTTAAAATTATTTTATTTGATGTATACCACCTTAATTATAATTTATGAGTGGACTGTTTTTATAAATCTCTCTGTATGTATGTATCTGTCCATGAGAAAGAAAACATAACATATTCCAAAAATTCACACGAATATTTCTGAAGTTTCACTTAAAATTTGCATTATTTTTGTTTCATGAATCATATTCCAGCTGTGTATAACTAGATATATGATGGTCATTAAATAGTTATTACCAGGTCAGCTTTCATCAATTTAAGAAGAAACACTAACATGTCAGTTTCTAAGGTACTGCATGCATACACGTGGAAAAATAAATCTGAATTTGTTATTGACATATTCAGATTCATGATTTTCAAATTATGACAGAGAGTTGTTCAGTTTGTGTAACTTCTGTGTAAGAATTTTTTAACTGGATGCTATCAATAGGCCAATGACATTCCATTCTTCTAATCTTTTTATCTTCTAATCCAAGAGAGTAATTGGTACAATGTTGTCCAACCTCAGTAATGAGCCAGGTGTCAGAAAGCAAACTGAAACTAAACCCAGAAAGATTGAGAGTGTGTTGATTAAAAAAAAAAAGATCTTTGAGTTGAGATAAAGTTTGCTCAGGGTAACTTTGTCTTTTCCCAGAAAGAACAGCTTTGCGGCTTATGAATGCTACTTGATCTCAAACTGTCCCTGGATTTATAAATGGTGGTTGTGTCAAGAAACTCTTTTACAGCTTTGACTCTTCCTGAGTTAGCCAGATTTAATATCAATTCCCTATACTTTGGGTGTCAACCACCTTCATTATTGCAAAGTACTGTATGTGGGAGCATTCTTGAAAAGCACCCAGAAATTGTCATTGGTGCAAAATGTGCCAGCCAGACTAAAACAAATGTAGGGATGATATCAATCCTATATGAAAAGACACGATTAACTCACAATTGTCCACCACACCACACAAGGTATTGGCCCTGACTTTCAAGACCCTAAACACTAAGTCCTGACTATATGTCAGCCTTTTGAAGTAGGCAAATTCAGGAAAGAGATATCAGGAATGCTGCCTTATTGTGAACTTAAGTTTTTTCTTCATTCCCTTCTAACTAAATTGATGTTTACATAAAGGTTACTGAATTCCTTCTTAAGGCCACCTCAGTATTATTGTACGTACAGGATCACATATTATAAGAAACTTTCCTGGTCTCTTCGATGAACCACTTTGAAGATATTTCCACTGCTAGAATTATATTCATCTGGTATGCTTCAAAGTTTCTTTTCTTGGGTGATTCCCAGATGAAGAATGTACTCCCTAAGGAGATGGATTTGGCCCTTAAAACCCCAATATTTTGGAGGTGCTAAAAGTACATCTTTTCTACCAAGCTTTTAACCATTAAATATAATTGTTCATTTATTTTGTTTTACTGAACGTTGGGATTTTATCTGTATTTTGGTTTCATTGTCACTTACTTATATTTTATATTCTTGTTGCTTTTTAAAAGGCAGATTTAAATCCAATAAATAAATAATTAAGAAATGAGGCAAAATTAGCTTAAAGAACATCTATCAAAAATCTGTGCAACTACTTCTAGAAATGCAAGAATGGAAAGAACTTATTCTTTTGATCTAGTGCTCCTCTTTACAATACTATATTTTGCTGTTCTTCAGAGAGCATGTACCTCTACTGAACTTGTTAGCAACCAGCCAGGCACAGTTTTGGGACAGCAGAATACCGGAGTTTCTGTAATTAAAATGAAAAGAGCACGGCAACCTCGTTCTTTCATTTAAAGTATGCCCAAAGCTGAGATATGCTGGATAGAAAGGTGCATCATCTATATTTTAGAAGGCAGAACTGAAGACTTCAAAGCTGAGAAATATATGAAAGAATACAATAATATTCTCCATTATCTTATCACTGGCATTCTTCTTGCTGTCAAAATTGCACACAGCACATCTTACAGCAGGAAATTTATTGAATAGGGCAATTCATAACTAAGCTATTTTTATAACACTGCACTTTCATGATAGTTTAGTTTTATTATTATATAGGAATGATATAGCCTTCAGTGTTTGTGGTAGTAAAATATATAGTATTTTATCAACCAGTCATATTGGATGTAAAATAATGTGGCAAAACCTTTATGCCAATGCCACCCTTAGAACTGACACTGAGGGGAGGCTGGGCCAATTATTTCACCTACTCAAATCAATTCCCATAAGGCATTCAGGCAGGAACATAGCAGTGGTGGGATTCAATTTTTTTTTACTACCAGTTCTGTGGGCATGGCTTGGTGGGTGTGATAGAGGGAGGATATTGTAAAATCTCCATTCCCTCCCCACTCCTGAGGGAAGATTACTGCAAAATCCCATTCCCTCCCCACCCCACTAACCTGATTTCCAGCTCTGTTCCGCCCGATCAGCTGGGACTCAGGAGGCAGAGAATAGATGGGGGGGGGCAGTCAGAAGTGGTATTTGCTGGTTCTCTGAACTACTCAAAATTTCCACTACTGGTTCTCCAGAACTGGTCAGAACCTGCTGAATACCACCTCTGGAACAAAGAACATGCTTACTAGATTTTGCTAATCATGTTCCATATGAAATGTGTCAGTTGTACGCAAATATTTTCATCTCTTTTAAACATTAGCTTCATAGGCATTATACTTTGCTTTCAATGTGAAGCAAGGTTTTACACCTAGGCAGGAAAAACCAAAGGTACAGATTAGTCAAAACCTGGGTCAAAAACAGCAACTGTGAGAGGGACCTTGGAATCCTAGTGGACGATCACTTAAATATGAGCCAGCAGTGTGCAGCCGCTGCCAAAAATGATAATACAATTCTTGGCTGTATAAACAGAGGCACAGAATCAAAAACAGGTGAAGTATTAGTATTGGTTTATAAAGCCTTAGTAAGACCATACCTGTAATACTGCATCCAGTTTTGGTCACATTACAAAAAAGATGATGAGACTTTGGAAAAAGTGCAGAGAAGAGCAACTAGGATGATTACAAGAATGGTTGCAGGATTTGGGTTTGGCTAGTCTAGAAAAAAGAAGGACTAGAGGCGACATGATAGCAGTATTCCAGTATTTGAGGGGCTGCTATAAAGAAGAGGAGGTCAAGCACTGGAAGGTAAGACAAGAAACAATGGATGGGAATTAATCAAGGAAAGAAGCAACCTGGAATTAAGGAGACACTTCCTAACAGTGAGAACAATTAATCAGTGGAATAGCTTGTCTTCAGAAGTTGTGTGTACTTCATCACTGGAGGTTTTTAAGAAGAGACTGGACAGCTACTTGTCTCAAATTGTATACCACCTCCTGCCTGAACAGGGGGTTGGACTAGAAGACCTCCAGCTCTAGGTGCCTTCCAGCTCTATTCTGATTGAATTGAAAATACAGACTACCTTGCCTCATGAAACAATATTTTACTTTACTGCTTTAAGTAGAAATATGTTTGTAGTTATTATGTTTATAGTTATTACGTTGGCACAGAGCTAAGGGTATTCATTTTATACACATAACTTCCTAATATACAGGACTGATTTGAAATATTTTGGTTCCTGACAATATAAGGAAAATATAAGGCCTTGATTTCTCCTTCTTTGAGAAATCTAGGGCAGCTTGTGTAGCACGAATAGTTTAGTTCTCTAAGACCAGACCTTTACTGTTTACTTTTCTGCTTGCTCTTTGTTCATTTTCACTCAAATCAGACAGCACATTTCACATGAACAATGAAGACATATGCAAAACTGAATGACAACATTTCAGAATTCAGTACAAGTGCATAGCTATTTCAGAGATAGGTCTCATACAGTACAAGCAATATCTTTTGTCCAACAAATAGACCCACTATGTAGCTTGTTTGTCAGGCTCTAAATGGGCCTTTGGGA